AACGTGTAGCCGCCGATGGCGGGGCCGTCCACGACGCAGCGCTTCTGGCGCAGGGTCTGGGGGATGCACTGCTGGGCAGTCGTGGCACAGCCGTCGGTGACCCTGAGGCCGGTGAAGACGGTGCCGTTGCACAGCGAGCCCAGCAGGGAGGAGGTGCAGATGTTGTCACCAGCCGCCGCGGTGCCGACGACAGGGGGCGAGTTGATGCCGGCGAGGGCGGTGTTGATGGGGGCGGCGGTGGGGGCGGTGATGGTGTAGATGATGGTCACCAGCACCTTGCCCTGGTCCAGCAGGTCGCACCGAGAGAACGCACCATTGACACTGGTCAGGCCAGCAACAGTCTTGATCTTGGCCACGGCAGCGTTGACGATCTCGGCCAGGCCGGGGGTCGGGTCGGGGCACCTGGCGTTGTTGGCAGTGCCGTCAGCAGGAACCAGCAGCAGGAAGGAGTTGGCAACAGCGGTGACGCCGCCAGCGGTGTCAGAGCCGGGGACAACAAGGGTGACCTTGGCAGTGACGGGCTTGATGGAGACACCGTCGTTGATGGTGTAGTTGAACACCACGTCACCAGCGAAGCCCCTGCATGGGCACGAGGGTCAGCAAGGGTGGGTGGGCAGAGGCCAGGCCCCACATGAGGCGCGACCCATATGAACAACATTGCCCATGCCTGTGCCCATGCCCAGGCGTCGACTTTGGGGGGGGGGGGTGTCTGCACATGACACCAAGCCCAGATCTTGGGAAAACTGCACTCACGGGATGAGCTTCAGGGTGATGGCACCCGCGGGGGTCACAGTGACGTTGCCGGTGTTGCTGACCACGACAACCTTGCCGCCGGGGTTGGTGGTGGCGTCATTGGCGAGCACGCCGGGCGCGGCGATCACGCAGTCGGCGTTGAAGGGGCAGTTGAAGGTGTCGTCGCCGGCGGTGGGGGCCGGGGGCGCAGGGTCTGTCACGGACAGCTGGATCAGGAGGTTCTTGGCCAGGGTGCCGTTGGTGACCAGGGACACAAAGGTCGTGTTGCCGGCAAAGCCCCTGCGTCACACAACGCAGGGAATGGCGACTTTGTGGGCAAGGCGATTATGAACAATCCGAGCCGTTCTCGCCTCACGTGCAGTCTAGTCCACATAGGCAGCCCACAATTCCCACCATTGCCAAGGGCACGGGCCAGCGCTCACAGCGGCGGGGTGAAGGTGATGGCGCCGTCGGAGGTGACGCCCACAGTCCCCACACCAGGCTTGGAGGTAGACACAACCACGAAGCCATTGGGGCCAGGCGCAGCCTTGAGCACGCCGGGCGCGGCGATCTTGCACACACCATCGCGAGGGCAAACAAAGGTGGCATCGGGGGTGGTGCCCGGCGGGGCTGCAGATCGAGAGAAGCGGGGAGATTCAAGGGTCAGGTGATTGGTTTGGGGTCAAGGGGATGGCATTGAGTTCGGGGCGCGCAGTGTCCACAGACCCACGCACCCTCCGTCTTGCACACATGCTGGTGATGTTCGAATGCCGACATCCTTCCTCCCACTGGTTGTCCGAGCTCCTCCCACTGTTTTGACCAGCAACATCAGCAACCCAATTCCCGGAGCACTCACGAACAGTGGTAGTGGAGTTGCACACAGGGCCGGCAAAGCCAGGCAGGCAGGCGCACTTGTTGGTGTTGATGCAAGCACCGCCGTTCTGGCAAGTGGGGTTGCACACTGCGCCAGAAGGGAGCATGCGTGGGAAAAGACACCTTTCAAAGCCACTGTAACTCTCTCCAACCAGGATTCTGCAACTGTGTGAAGCTGAACACCATTGTGTGGGTCAGGAGCATTTATGACCCTGCGTCTGCTCGTGGACCAATCACGCCCCACCCACCAGTACCTGCCCACTCACCCGGCGGGGGCCCCGTGCAGGTCGGGCCAGTAAACCCAGTGCGGTCGCAGTTGCAGGTGTTGTTGGACGTGCACACACCGCCGTTCTTGCACAGCCCGGGGGTGCACACTGCAAGCGGGTAGGTTAGCGATATGGTGGGGAAATTGAGCGACACCCCTACTTGACACACCACACCAGACGGAGGCTATCAGAAATTCACAGGAAAAGCCTTGACCTCCTGCTTACCAACGGGCGTCGTGCAGGTAGGGCCAGTGAACCCGGTGCCAGTGCAGTCGCACGTGTTCGGGTCAGAGCACCGGCCGCCATTTTGGCAAGCAGGGTTGCACACTGCAGTGCAGCAGGGATGGATGCAAAGGATTTGAGGCGTTGAGTGTGCTTGAATGGGCGTCCCAACTTGCTGCCTTTGCTGCAATCCCTGAGGCTCCAAAGACCCAGGCACAAAGCAACCAAACCAGCATCATCTCAATGATAACCACTGCAAGTCAGGTCACCTACCAACAGGTGTGGAGCAGATGTTGTCCGTGAAACCGGTGCCAGTGCAGTTGCAACTGAGCAGACCATTGCATTCACCTGGGAGGGAGAGCATGATCACTTGTTTTTGCATGTGCCAAGACGTGCAAGTGGGGCTGGGAGCGATTGCCAAACATAGCTTCACCGTAATGTTGATGTGAGGGACCCGGTCAGCTGAGAATGTCAGCACACCAGCTGGTCCATCATGGCAGCTCACCGCCGTTGAGGCAGCCGGGGAGGCAGACGGGCAGGGGGATCGACGGCAGAGCTGGCAGCAGGTTGGAGATCGTCTGGCAGAGCGGCAGGGTCGAGAGCGTATCGGTGACGACCGCACAGAACATGGTGGTGCCTGCAAGTGCGACAGCAAGGGTCCAGCCAGTCAATGGAGGGTTGGAGTTGAGTGGGTGTGCCCTTTAAAAAAGGCAGGGCAGTTGAGGCACATGATGCTACCAGTGGCAGGCTGTCAGCCATTTCAGATTGTTGTTCAGTAAGTTATTTCTTGTCAGACTCAATGCGCACCGTTCAGGATGCCGTCGAAGGTGAAGGTGCCATCCTTGTTAATGTTGATGGTGCCAACATCGGGCAGGAGGCCGAGGCCCGCAACGCTAAGGATGCCACCCAGGTTGAGGTTGGGCGAGACCACGCCGCTGAGCAGGTTGCCGGTGAAGTTGGTGCCGCCCTTGAGGTCGATGACGGTCTTGTTGCTGAACACCAGGGGCAGGATGCCGCCAACGGCGGGGATTTGCAGGTTGCGGATCAGGTCGATGCAGATGGGGGCGGTGGACAGCAGGTCGGTGACCTGGATGCACACGCTGGTGGAGCCTGCGGGGAAGAGAAGAGCGTAGGGGGCACAGCTGAGTGCTGTGGTGAGGTGTGCACTGTGATGACGGCACAAACACACTGCAGGGGAGTCGAGACACTCGTGCAGCGTGTCACTACAGCCCGCAACAGTCATCATGCAAATCACCGTCATAATGGTGCATACCAATCCCATGTGGTTGCTCTCACCGTTCAGGTTGGGCCCGTTGTAGAGGAAGCTGCCGTCGATGCCAACCGTGATGTTGCCGATGTCGGGGAGCTTGGTGATGCCCACAACAGAGAGCAGGGCGTTGGGGTTGAGGGAGAGCACACTGGACAGCAGCGCACCCTTGCCGCCAATGAACGAGACGTCAGTGGGTGCCAGGATGAAGCTCTGGTTGCCGCCAAGGAGGTTGGTGACGAGGGGAACGGCGTTGGTGACGCCGGGCAGGAGGCCAGCCGCAGTCTCCAGCACGGGGCCCACAGCGTTGTTCAGGACACCGTTCAGGACAGCGTTGAGGCCACCACCACCCAGGAGGTCGCCGGAGGCCAGGCCCAGGAGGTTGGTGAGGAGACCACCGTTGCCGAGGACAGGGACATTGCCCAGAAGGCTGCCCACAACAGGGAGACCGCTCAGCTGGGTGCTGTTGAACAGGCCGCCAACAACGGGCAGGCCAGACTTGCTGCCAAAGAGGCCGCCGACCAGGGGGAGGCCGCCAACAGTGCCGGACAGGAGGCCGGAGGTGGAGCCAGACAGGATGTTGCCCAGGACATCGGTGACACCGCCGACGAGACCACCAGCAAGGCCGCCCGTGAGACCGCTCAGGAGGCCGCCGGTAGCACCGGAAGTGCCGGTGAGACCACCAAGGAGGCTGCCGCCGGTGACACCGGAGAGGGTGCTCAGGAGACCGGTAGGGTTGGAGCCAAGCAGGCCAGTAACGGTGCCAAGGACGCCGCTGAGGAGGCCAGTGCTGTTGGAACCGCCCAGGACGCCGCCCAGGAGGCCGCCGGAGCCGCCCAGGAGGCTGCCGGAGCTGCCCAGGAGGCCGCCAAGGAGGCCGCCAACGGGGTTGGTGGTGGTGGTGCCACCGGTCACGCCGGAGGCAACGCCAGTGACAGTGCCGAGAACGTTGCCGACGGTGTTGAGGGCACCACCGAGGAGACTGCCACCAGTGCCGCCGGTGAGGCCGCTGGTGAGGCCGCCGAGACCGGGGAGCTGCTGAAGCTCACGGCCATTGCGCTGTGCGTCAACACTGGCGGCGGCTATGGGCGCTGCGAGCAGCAGCACCGCCATGGCGACGGCGGTCGCCGTCGGGTGGCGGGCCATGGTGGGACTGGGGGGGAGGGAACAAGGGGGATGCGGGAGGGCCGGGAAGGGTGAGGGGGAAGTAATTTGGGGAAAGGGGTGAGTGCAAAGGGGGGTGACGGGTGGCTGCTGTTGTGAGCATGTCAGGGTGCTACTGCCCTGGTCGGCAGAACAGAGAATGCCGAGCTGACTGTCTGTCACAAGGCTTTGGCCGCCGCACAATTGAAGAAGGGAGGCCCGCGGGCCAGCATAGCTGTCGACTGCTACAGTCCTGAGTCACCAGGTGCTCAACAGGAACCCTCTGCGTGACAAGCCCTGAGACCAGCGCGGATTGTCAAGTTTACATGTCACCAAGCTTTGGGTGGCTCACCTGAGTGCTTGACGTGCCACCAGAGATGCTGGGCGGCTGCTTGGGGTTGAGCAGCTTTCAGCGCGGAATGTTTGACGTTCGAGCCGTGTAGAAAATCCGTCTACAGCGACCGCGTTTTGAGCAAACAATGGAGTCAGGAAGATATGTGCGCCGTTCTATTGTAGCCTTCCCGCGGATTCATCTTCGCACCAAATCTCTATGCCGAGTGACCTTCCATGGCCTTCCCGCGTGGCTGCCAGTGGCCGGGAAAGGCTCTCATCGCGTGATTTTCTGGTTTATCTCGAACCTTCGAAGTCTTTCACTCAAGTTCGGCGTCTGGCTGAGCCGCCAGGGGGTGCCCTGCATGCCGGCGGCCCCCGATACCAAACACAGGGACCGGGTGACGGCTTGGGGGGCGAGAGCCTGAGAGTGATTACCCCCCCAGAATCAAAGCCAGCATGCTGCCCACAGCATGGTACCTCATGCTTATTATACCCCGCAGGAAAGGCAAGGGAGCCAAGTGATTTACACGTGCGTGCACCGCCGCCCCGCTGGCATGGCTCGATCGCAGTTTCAAGAGGCGCGAGTGATTGCGTGCATGGCGGGCTCTAATCGACGGCCCTGGTGAGGGCCCTCGGCGCCAGCCTGCATCATAAAAGGTGTTTTGTGATGTATTGATGGCATGTGTGTTTCTCCCTTGACAGCATCCCCTTGCCACGTCGCAAGGGCAGCATCCCCTGCTGGGTGCACCAGGCAGCCACAAGAACAACCGCTACAGCCTGGCCCGGAGCTCGCATCGAGACTTGCTGACATCCCTGACAGTTTGCCACCTCTTGCCGCTGTGCCGTACCCATGCTGTACCGTACCCATGCCCTCAAACTCCAAGCATGCCTGCACTCCGTGCACTGCATGCTTGCAGTGGGCATGCGATGGCATGCACTCAGCTGTTGGAGGTGTTGACCGGCGCTGGCACTCGCCCAAAGATGCTGGCTATTGGACTTGAGAGCAAATTGTGCCGCATGGCATTTCTGACCAACAGCCCTCCTGATCGCTCAGTCGCCAATGCTACTGTACCTTGGCTTGCTGCTTGCTTGACACTGGGCCTCATCGTGCTGCATTCGTCACCACCACCAAACGTGTGCATACCCTACGGTATCATAGAGCCCGCAAAACCCCAGTCCTATGGCTTGCAGAAGATTGAGAAAGCTTGCAGTACGGTGTACTCTGACGGGCCTCGCAACAGCACACCCTCGAATGATCGCGTAATAATGAAGCAAACAGCCAGCCCGCCAATCGGCTTGTTTGTACGTGGTTTTCTGTGTTTTAATCTGCTATGCGTCTCGGCGCCTGGTGGCACAGCAGCTGATGCGCCACATCACTCGCAAGCAGCAGCAGCGCTTGCGTCCCGTGAGCGTGCCCTGCAGCACTTCCATCGTGATCTACTCTTGTTGTCTGCTGAGCCCAGCGTCAGCAGCAGCCGGGACAAAGTCCATGTGGACGGCATCCTTTCCGCCGCGGATTGGTGCGAGCAGCAGCGGCACTGAGTTGGAGCATGGAGGGGCAAGCAAGGGCGCATGCTGAACCGTCGTGGCGCTTACAGCCAGCCTGCTGCTTGCGCCAGCATGTTTACACGCATGGCTGCAGCCCAAATGCCCTGCCTTGCTCACTGTTGCACCGCCACGCCGCGCCTTGCTGCTCAGGCTGCATGACAAGCTGACTGCTATCGGCCTGCAGGTGCGGTGCGAAGCGGAACCAGGGAATTGCCAGGGCCAAACATGGTGCAGACTCACCGAGGGGTCCCGCATGGATGGGCTGCGCCCCATGAACAGCAAACACCACCTGTTTGCTGGATATGATTCGGCGCGGCTGGGGCCGCCCAGCACGCTGGGCGACGCCCGGCCACTGCCACAGCCCAACCCCTCAGTCCCAGCCGTGGTCCCCCCAGAAGGCCGAGCGCACCCGCCTGGCCAGCAGAATCAACACAAAAAACAAGCTTTCCAGCTCAGGCATCGTGCGCCTTGCGGCGCTCAGCGCACTGCCCGCACCCCGCGGCGCAGGACGTGCAAGTCCTCCAGACGGAGGGGCCACAGCCGGTGGTGTACGCGTCGCACTCCGGCGCCGGCCCAGCTGCACCAACGGTCCTCATCTACGGACACTATGACGTCCAGCCGGTGGACCCTCTCGGCCTGTGGGACGACCCCCCCTTTGAGCCGCGGATCAGGGACGGCATGTTCTGGGGGCGCGGCGTGGACGACGACAAAGGCGGGCTCCTCGGCGCCGTGCACGTGAGCGCGCGCCTGGGGTGCGCCGCAGGGGAAGAGGGGGAGGGGGGGAGCGCCTGCGATCGCGGCTGATTTATGTGTCTCAGGCGTGCGGTGCGTGTGCAGGGGCCTGCGGTGCATCCCTGCAGTCTGCGTCAACAGCATGGTGTGCCAACGCGCACCGTACACCCCTTGCCCAACAGGCATGACAGCAAGCATACGCAAACGCGCGCGCACACAAGCAAAAAGGACTGGTCACTCTCCAACGCCGCCGCAGGCTGTTGAATCGTACCTGCAGAGCAGCGAGGGGTCTCTGCCTGTCAATGTGAAGTTCTTGTTAGAGGTGCGGCGGCACAGCAGCGTGGAATGGCTGAGAGCCTGGGGGCAGCCGTAGCAGTGGGTTGGCGTTGATGTGGCGGGAGGGTGCGGGGCGACAGGCGGGTGAGCAGGTGGGCAGGCCGGCGGGCAGGCAGGCAGGCGAGCAGGGGAGGTACGAGGTAAAGCTGTGCAGTCCAGCAGCCAAGGGCAACCGGTGCGCCCCGCGAGGCGGGGCGACGCTGGCCTTGACGGTGTCTGCGCCCCAGCCCCTCGCTGCCGCTCGGCGCGACGCACACCAGCGGACGCCTCCACATGCGTTTTACGACGTGCGCGTGCGCAAGCGGTGGCCTCCACCCCGCCCCACGCCGCCGCAGGGCCAGGAGGAGATCGGCAGCCCAGACCTGGCGGCGTTCCTGCGGGAGCACAGGGGCGGCCTGCTGGCGGGGGTCGACCTGGCGCTGTCGGCGGACGGGTCTCAGATCAGCAAGGAGCAGCCGGGAATAGCCACAGGGCTCAGGTGCGGGAGGGGGAGCGGCGGACGGGGGCAGTGGTGGCCTTGATGGGCATTGACCAGGGGCGGGCGCTGCTTTGACCTGACTTTGCCGATGTTGACTGGGCGCGGCACGGCGCGGCCCCTGAGGTTGTGGGGCACAGGCGTGCGCCGTCATGAACGGGCTGGAGGGGCCAGCGGGCAACGCGTTGCCGCTCTTGAGGGGGCCGGCTGCTTGGTTGGTTTGGACAAGGGCGGCTGGGGCAACTCTGCTTCCGGACCGAAAGCACACCCCTGCATCGCGCCTGCCTGACTATGCAACGGCCCGCGCTTCCGCAAATGAAAGCTACCGCACGTGACGCCGCGAACCAGCTGCCGCCTAATCCCCTCTTCGCCGCGTGCACGTACTCATGCGGCTCGCAGGGGTGCCGTGGCCCTACAGGTGGACGTGCGGACGGCCCACACTGACATCCACAGCGGTGCGCAACCAGCCCGCGGGCCCCTCTGCTTCCGCTGATCTCGCGCATTCAAGAGCAGCTGGCGGGCTGGGCGGCCCGTCGGCGAGGGCCCCTGGCGCAGCACGGGGCCGCTTGGTGTGAGTGGCGCGCTGCCGCCGCGGCGGGCCTGGTCCACTTTTCAGCTCCTCGTGTCTCCCGCAGGCACCAAGGGCGGGAGCATACAGAATGCGGCCCACGCAATGGTGCAGCTGCTGGCCACGCTGAGGGACCCTCAAACCGCCAAGGCGCGCAGGGCGCACCGCGCCCCTGTCGGCTGCAGCATGATTTTTTGATGGTGTTTGCAGCTGCCGCCCTGCTCTTTGGCCGGGACCGCTTAGTGGCGGCTGGCGCGCGAGCCCTGCTGCGTGCTGGCCGGAACGGCGGGCAGCTTTTGGGGTGCTTGATCACAGGGGCGGTGCGAGCGGCGCAGTCACAACCCCGCAACACGAGGTGTTTGTTTTCATTGCGACCCTTGCTCTCGCAGGTCTTGGTGGAGGGGTTTTATGATGGGGTTGTGGAGCCGACAGAGGAAGACAGGGAAGACATGGAGGTGGGAGGGTTGGAGGGTGTTGGGCAGCGGGCCTGGCGGGGGAAGCTGACGCAGCAGCGCGCCATGGGCCTGCAGGCGGCTCATCTATGCAGCCGCCGCGCGACCATTGGGCCGCGCGCGAGGCCGCGGCAAGCGGCGGGGGGGCGCCGGCAGCCGCTGGGCAAGGACACAGCGCTGCCGTGGCTGGGGACGGGTCGGCGCGGGACTTGCCCCTGCTGGGTGCTGCCCGGCCCAGCCATCCCCCCTGCTAGACCCCTTGTGTCCTCTCGCGCCCTCTGCCGTCCCTCCTTATCATTCCTATCTGCACCGCAAAACTGCATCACAAATTCGCAGAGATTTCCCTTTGACCAGGCAGCTGAAGCTGCGCTCGGCATAATGGGCCACTGGGGCGAGGAGGGGCGCACCACCCTGGAGAGAAGGTGAGGGGAAGCCGGCGGTGGAAACAGGCAGACGCAAAGCTGGGGACGTTCGAGGCGGCGGCGGCGGCGCTGAAGGGGTTGCGAGCACTTCAAACCTACCTGTGCACTGCATTTGTGGGGGCGGGTTGATCGCGCTCAATGATTCTGGTCTGCTCAACCCCTTAAACGCCAGCGCGAGAGATCGTCCACGAATTTGCAATCGCCTCAAGCATCTCAAGCTGCTCAGTCTCGCACCCCATCCCCCTTAAACTAGGTGGTACCGCCCCACCCTCGAGATCGTGGGGATGGGATCTGGCTATCAGGGCGACGGGATCAAGACGATCGTCCCAGCGACTTCCACAGCCAAGCTGGCGCTGCGGCTGGTGCCCAACCAGGTCCCCGGCGACATCACCAAGAAGGTGGGGCGCCGCGCGCGCCCCTCTCCCCGCAGGCAAACCCTTGCTGCACCCTGAAGCGAAGGGAGCAGGCCCTGGACCCCATGCCCGAGCCCCACCCAGTCACAGCCCCACCCCGCCGCCCGGCCGGCCGGCCGAGCCGCCTTGCGCGCTCGGTTGCAGTGGTGCGCCGCGCACCTGCAGCACCAGGGCGTCCCTGGAAACCCGTCCCGGCCAGCCCGTGCTCCGCGTCTGCTTTGCCTTGTGACACACGTGACCGCACCCCCCTGCATACCCGGCCAGGTGCGGGCCCATCTAGAGAAGCACCGGCCGCCCTTCGTCAACATGACAGTCACGACACTCGGCTTCAGGTGAGGCGCCCCAGCCCGCACCCAGCCGTCAATCGGGTCCCTGCTTATCTAAGCCTGACATGTGACTCGTCTGAGTGTCTGTAAGCGTCGATTGATGGCGTTCTAGGCAGCGGCTTCCCGCGTTTGCAGCCGCTCGGAATGTCGGGTGTCCCTCCGCTTCGAGTGCTAGATGCTCGGCGCGTCCCGCCGCGCGTCCAGGGCCACGCCGCTGCTGTCGCTATCGCCTTGCGGCAAGCAGCCCATGCGACATTGGGAACACGCACGCTTCTGTCACCTACATCATTCTGCCTCTGCGGTGCCTTCACGGCCAAGTCACCCCTCCCGCCCCGGTTCGCCTTTCCTGACACCCCGCCCACCCCTGACCCCTGACCCCACCCATCCATACCCTGCCACCCCTGCAACTTGCCATGTGTCAGGGCCGATCCCTGGACTTCCCCTAGGCACACCCCCGGCAACCAGGCCGCTGCTCGCGTGCTGAAGCAGGTCATGGGGGCGGACCCGCTCTTCTTCAAGTGAGGCCCCGGACCGGGCAGTCTCTGACGATGCCGCAACTCCCCAGCCTGCGGCCCCATCGCGCGCTGGGCTGCGCCTCTGAATTGCGCGCATTCATTCTGAATTGCGCGCATTCATTCGTGCCTTTTGTGCATGGGGCTCTGTAATTTCGTTGTGTCGGGACGCAAAACGCTGATGCATCTCTAACACACACACACACACACACACACACACACACACACACACACACACACACACACATGCCAACTGTGGCAGGGAGGGCGCGACTGTGCCGGCCCTGGCCTACTTCCAGGAGATCCTAGGGGTGCCCACCACAGTGTTTGCCTTCTCCCTGGGCGACAACATCCACGCGCCAAACGAGAGGCTCAAGGTGGGCCGCGGCGCCGGCGCTTCCTGCAGCTGTCACGCACCCGACCGCTGCGTGCGTGTGGGTGGTGGCCTATTGCGTTTCGGCCACTGGCGAGCGGGCGGGCGCAGCTGGATGGACCCCCCCGGCCTCACGCTTCGCGCGCGGTAATGCTGAGTGCGCCCCGCCGGCATCCACTCACTTCCCTCTGCCGTGCTTACGACCCTGCACGCCGCTCCTCACACCACACGCACACTTGGACGTGCTCAACCCACCACTCCCCTCCTCCCTGACCCCCACTTTTGCTGACCGTTCCGTGACACACATACACACACACACACACACACACACACACACACACACACGAATACCACACCCACGTGTGCACACACACAGGTGTCCATGTTTGATAAGGGCAGCGAGGCCTGGATCTTGCTGCTGGCCGAGCTGGGGCGCATGGGCCGCCAGCCCTTTGTGGCAGGGCCCGCCAGCGCCGGCGGCGGCGCCGAGCCGCACTCTGAGCTCTGAGCTCCACAGCATCTTGGCTGGCGGCATGCAGCGCGGCGGCGGGGATGGGCAGGCGTCCTGGCGCGCTGCCTCGCTGGAACCGCAGTGCTGAAGCCGTGTTGGGTCATGCTGCACACTCAGGGCGCAGTGACAGGTGTATATCAGGGCGTTGGCATACTGACCACTGCAATTTGTAGCAGACAAGGTGCCATCGTAGGGGCGGCCGTGCAGTTGTGTCTTGTGCATCAGATCATTGTCCCCACCTTTGCCTTCTGCAAAGACCTACGGTGGACCAGCGTTGCGCTGCACAGGCGGCGATTGCATGTATAAACTCCCTTGCGCCGCCGCCCGCCCTCTACTGGGTGCATTTTCGCAGTCCAGGGTTTTTGCCATTTACGGTGTATGTGGTTGTGTAATCGCTGTTGTTGCAAGTGACAAGGCAGTCGCAACATCTGCGCATGTGAACAGTCATGTGTTGTTGCGGCCCAAGAGGCAGCCGCCCCTGCCAAAAGACAGCCTGGACTTAACAAAAGACAAACCTCTCACCCACAACACAGACTGAAAAGGACAATGTAGGCAATACGATACACAGCCACTCCTGCAGGCACGACAACAGTCCCACGGACCCCGATTTTCAGGGGGGACATGTATCCATAGCCCAGGTAGTTGCTGATGCCCAAGGCTGCAGCTGGTGCTCAGCCGTTTGGGCAGTTGGCCGCCCAGTGGCCGGGCTGGTTGCACTTGAAGCACACGTTGCCATTGCCGCCGCCCATGGTACCATCCGCACGGACGAATTGCACGTCACCCCCGCCGCCGCCGCGGCCCCGGCCACCGCCAGCAGCGCCG